ATTAAATCCAAAGATTACATTGCTGAGACAGAATGTTGTTACTGTGTTGCTGCCAAAACTCCAAATGAAAAACAGTACTGCACGTCTCAATGCTATATAACACTAATAATGTCACACTCCTCTGTTAAATATAATTATTGTTTTTTTTTAATTACATACAGTATAGTGCACAGAATTATTAGTAATTGTGCATAAATAATAATTGGATAACATACTTTTTTGACTGTTAAAAATATATTACACATAGTGGCTTTAAAAATATATTGTATTTAAAAGCAAATTTACAAATAGAAACAAAAAAGATTAAATAAGTTTTAAGCAGTTATTTGAATTACTTTGTCAGTCACATACTGTAAGTTGAAGTGCAGGGGTTACAGGTTTACAATGTATTTAGATCACTGGTGATCTAATGGCATCTAGCATAGATGAAGGCAGTCTGTAAGAATGACTCTAATACTACTGTATACTGTAGTTGATGTATGGAAATGTGTGGATATTAAAATGTGCAGCACATCTGGAAAAAAATATGTTTTCCATGTATTTGGCTTATGTCTCTGAATTAAAAACTATGTGCTGTGAAGGGATAAATCCTGTATCTGTTTAGATCAACAACACAAACCAACATATCCTCTATTCTTAACTTGCTCCAGGGCAGGTTAAGTCACACTTACCCTGGCTTTGTGATTAAGAAACCACAAACCACAGACTAATCAGCCCCCTGCCAAAAAATGTTGTTACTTTTCTTCATGGCTCAAGTTGACATTAGAGTTTTGTGGACAGAATGAAACTTTAGAGAATGCCAAAGCCCTTTACAGCTCTTTGATATTATTTATTTGAAAGATACCACTTCAGCTGACAGGGTATGCTTTACCTTAGCAATCTGTTAAGCCCATGCATCGTTAATACTGCCCATAATAGCTCAGAGTTAAAAGAAACGAAAACTCACAAGGCTGAGATTCTTTGTGACCAGTGTTGTTTTTTTTTACTGTGTTTGCAGTTTGAAGTGCTTCAGTGAAGCGACATTGCACCATGCAATAAGGAAATTGGTGTTTGCACTAGAACAGATTTTGCATGACATAACATTTCCCGGATATATAATAGTTAATATCATCAAACATATCTGGTAATGTTCTCTTACATAATTCTATCATCTGTAAATGTAGCTTCTGTTCCCTGTAGCTACCTGCCATGATCTAAACATCTCTTACAGCAGTTCCTAATATAAAAGATGCTCTGGACTACACAAACTCATCATTATGCACAGACTCCTCATTAAAGCCAACCAAGGACCAAACAAGACTGTATACACTACGTGGTATTGTACAGTACCACTTTGGATGATATTCATACATATAGGAAAGTGAATGCCCTAATGCCTTGGCTCAATCTTTTTTTGGAGGGACAGACTAAAATGAGCAAAACTAAACAATAGAATGCCCATAGACTATGATGAAATATAATGAACAAGGAATACCCATAGACTATAATAAAGAAAGAAAAACAGATCAAAGATTATAATCCTTGACTCAAAATATAAAACCAAAAATATTGTTCCTAATAAATAGTAAACTCCCCAATGTAGAAAATAAATAAAATGACAATAAAATTATAAGAATGAATGGTTCGTTTATATGGAATGAGAGGCTAGGAATACTAAAATATAGGAAAGATCATTTATTGAACAATTATACATTTCTTGTTTAAACCTTAAAACCAAAAACACTGTTTCTACTAAATTCACTAATGCACAAAATAAATCAATTCCTCTGTCCTACAGCCCCCCACACCACACACAGGTTTTATTATATATTTTGACTACTTGCTCTGTCAAGAGGATAGTAAAAAAAAATACCATACTTCTGGATTTAGTGAGTGTTATTAATTTTACAGTTCTAAAATAATCATAGGGTCTTTTTAATTTTAAAAGGGTCTTATTAAAAAGTAATAGGATGTGTCTCCTTCACAGCATGTAGTTTTTTAGTATTTTAAGTATTTTAAATGCACAAATAACAGAATATTATAAATCAAAAACATTTTGTTGTAAATGCTGCGGTGTTGTGGTGACTGTGTGGTTTCTGCTCCTTAAAGAGAATATGTTCTTAAACAGGTGTATTTTATACATTTCTGTTTTGCAGATCTGTATGTTTTACTCAAAAACAGTAACAAAACTTACTGTAAAATCAATACATTGCTCACTATATTGCAGCGATTCCCCCACTTAATTTCTTTTGCATAGTTGGTGACTGACACTGATCAAGAGTATCAAGAGAGGCAAGAGACAGTAGCTGCAACTCACTCACCAGTTGTCAATTGACAAAAACCAACAGAGTCAATTTACATAATAAAGACACCTCTTTACAATTTGACAGCTTTCTGCCTGCATGAAGCGCAGCCCTCAACTCCTGCGCCAGCAGACCCACCATGCAATTAAGGAGGTGGAGAAATCAGAATTTACTTTACCAGTACAATTAAGAGGTACATTTACTGCAAGTAGGCCAGATTGTGCCAGCCCAATCAAACCCAAGTGGAATTAAGCCTGGCCACAATTTTAAACACCCTACCCTTATTAGCACTGCCATGCAAGAATCTTAAATGCTTTATTTCAAAACAGACAGGAAAGGCAACTTAACATAAATTTGAGATATCTTAAAAAGATACTGAGGTATCATCACATAATTTAATGATATCTTTATTTCCTTTTCAGAAAAACTGAATTTAAATATTTTCAAATCAAGTAAAAGAGATATCACAAATTGATTTAAATATATGTAAATTTCAACTGAAGTGATCTAAATTTTTCTGCAAATGCATTTAAATATATATCTAAATTATCATTTTGGTTGCCATATTTTATCCTTCTAAAGTATTAATGTGTTCTAGTTAAAGTACTTTTAAAACTTTTTACTTTTTCTAGCTTTCCCCTAGATATAAGAGATGTCAGCAAAAGATTGTGATATTTAGCTAAATTCAGTGTAATAAAATAGTGTTTTCTCCTCATCACGACACAGTTATTCTTCTGTTAAAAGCAGAAGAGGACCAAAACTCTGGACCAACATTTTCCAGCTTCTCAAAATTTCCAGCTGCTTCTCTTTATTACTCTGTAAACGTAAGAGCTTGCTAGACTTACAAATGGTCTAAAAATATCACGCTTTTTTCATTGAGACATCTGGAGCTGAAATCGCATTGCCATCTTGTCAGGGTGACTGTTTAACCAAACATCCTTATTTTTCCTTTCCAGTTAATTCCTTAATTTAACAGTTAGTTCCTTTGCCTTAGCACCAGCAGTTTTACTTATTTCTGTTCATATTGATGTTTAGAGGGTTCTAGCTGTGGATTATTTCTATGCAACATTTCCTCTTAAAATAAGGATATAAGTGTCATTTCAGGCTGTCACACCCATGAAGGGCATTCACTGCAGATGAATTAAAGCTGGCTGAGCTCCGTGGTGTCAATATAACCAGTTTGAATGTGGACTATGTCATTAGCCAGCAATGACCAGGAATCCCACAAATTGTGGCACACAGTTCAAACACACACTGGGATTGAGTAAAACAAGGTATCCTTAGCTTTCCATGCAACAGCAAATCAACCTACAGCCAAACATCTGCGAGCCTGCAGTGTTGGCAGTGAGACGCACCTGCAGTGGTTGCCACTGTGAGTTGCATGTTCTGCCATGTTCTGAGTTATATCAGCAAGCTAATGTAACTGAGATGATAAAGAACGTCTGAAATTGCAAGGCTTACAAACCTAAAATTGATTAATAAATGATAAATTAAGGACTAATTGAAGAACAAAGTCCACAGCTTATTAGATCATTTATTTACTTAGGAGGTGCAATGTAAGGCCTTTTGGCTGGATGGGGGACAGTCAGCATAAAGTGTAGGGATCTCTGGTTCCTGTGCAGTAGCACCCTTGATCACTTCATCAGTTTCTGTAACAGTGTTGCAATGTACAAAAACACAAAACTATCCTCTGTCTTTAGGGTCATTATTTCATTTGGTGTCATTTCTTTTCCTGCTGGGCTGCAGTGTCTTCTGACTTTTGTTCCACCTGAAGTCTCAGTTATTTAATGATTTGATTTAATTATTTGATCACTTTGGATGATTGTAACTCTCCTTTCCAGGTCCACAAATATTTAAACTGTTTCAGATGCCTGCTTTAGAAGAATATGGGCTTACTTAAATAAATTAAACAGCACATTGTGTGGGATTCTTAGAAGAAAAGAAAGAGAGTAGTGTAACATTTTTTTCCCTTTTCAGGTACAGTAATTTTTTTTCTTAAGTACTTTAATAGGACAATCTTAGCATTAATTGAAGCATTGTATTCAGTAGGTATTTGATCTAGAATATACTGCAAAAAGATGGTGCCTCATGGAGTCAGATATCACGATAAATGGAAAAGTGTACATTTCATAATGTAAAACATGTAAACCTCATGTATATTGGAACCATTTTATTGTTTAGCTAAAAACTGCTGTCATAACCTTGTATTGCAGTGTACTGCACTAAGGCAGAACATCTGTGAAAGAAAATTAAGTGAATGAGCAAAGGATGCTCATTTTTACTGTGTTTGAGAAACTGATAATTTTCCTGGAATAAATATACTGTATGTTTGTGTTCTGGAAAACAATACATTCAAGTGTTCAGTTTAAAAAGTTTTATTCTATTTTCTCATCATCATTTTCAATTGTAATGGGGATGGGAATTTGTTTAAGCCACTATATACTGTAAATGTTCACTAAATGGAATCTGGCTGCAATACTCTGAAATGGAGATACAATCTATCATTCAAGGTATAAATTTTAAGGAACCATTTTATTAATTGAAGCCAGTAAATGAAATGAATTAAATAGTTAAAGAAGCAATTAAAGTAATTGTCAAAATGTTCTGAATTTTCTACAAAGAATCTATGCTTTTCACAGGGGCATAGTCACAAAACATTTTCTCTGAACAAATTATGTTTCTGCATTTAGCAGCCAAAAGCAACTTGACATTTCTCACCTTTTGGTCATGGCTGTAGGCCAGAATCCAGTCTTCATGTGTAGGATGAAACAGCAGGCTTAATATATAGAAGTTCAGACGGAATTTCTGATAGCTTGCTCCTTCATCTGAACTGATCAGTACGCTGCTTTCAATCTCTGGATCACTTAGAAGCATTATCTGAATGAAAGAAAGATAAAATTCAATGCCAATCAATAATATAGTCAATAGAATTACTTTGTTATTCCACTTTCACCTTTTAAAAAAAAACAACTATTTTTCCATGAGTTCATCCATGAAAAGGATTATTCACATCATCAAGTCCATTAAAATGATATCAGAATAGTGATCTGGTGTAACATAGCACAAATTGACCTCCTAACTGTAATAATAATTAAATTACAAAAACCCTTGCTCTGGAGAAAAATGGGAAGGGTTTCAGTAGTTACTAACACAAAAGGCTACGTTTTCTTTTTGCAACCAGATTTGAATTGGGAAAAATAGCAGCACATTTGTCACAGGCTAAAATGTCACCTCTCTTTCCTCAATTCCTACAATGGATCCTCCCAGACTGTGATTTAGATAAATCGTTTTTCATTAAGAACCAATAAACAGACTGCAGTTTCAGAGCCAGTTTTCCTTGGCCAGAGCCTTCCTTTTTTACCACTCATTATCATCACGGTGATGGCAGGATAGCCCCTATTTCTCCCTGTGTCCTGGGACTTGTCAAGTATAATTTATAGCTTTTAAGGCCTAATCATTTTCCATAATATTGGATTAAGTGACAGCATTTATTAAGGAAAGAAATTACTTTTCACTTTCCCTTCCCTTCCCGACTTCCTCAGCCTATGTGCCACTTAGGTTTGTACAAACATGACTCTGAGTCCTTGAAAATCATTTGGCAGGTTGGACTAAAGGAATTCCCACTCTCTCAACTTGAAAACCAAATTGGCCTGTCAACCTAGCCCTCCTGGCATTTGTTGTTATACATTTCAATAGACTGCATCTGAAATCTAATTCCTGTCTCATAGTGTGTGCTTGTTTTGACAGAGCCATAATTTAAGATAGAGTGCGAAGCAGGCTAAAAAATAAAATGTGAAAGTAAAAGAGTTATAATTAGCATTATCCTACAATGACAAACCGACAGCAATTTGCACAGGACTTAAGTGATGTTCAAGAGGAAATGGACCACTTAACTTTCTGTAGTGGAGATTTATTGTATTATATGCTCACATCATCACATCACTCATTGAATTTAGAATTTACAATATATACTGTACAGTATATGAATGCAGTTTATGAATGCAAAGAATGTAAATGAATAATAAGCATCTAGCAGATAAACTTAATTATAAATATTCCTTTTGCAATACAATAGCTCATCTCCATGAAATGATTTACATTAAGTTTCTAAGCATGGCCAAATTGGTCTCAACTTAATTGTTTTGCAAATTCTACCATAAATTAGAAAGTGGTATAGTACACATAAAAACATACTGTAAATGCAAACATAAACCATAGGTTTTCTAAAAAATTTAGACCAATTATCAGAAAAACGAAAACTATCTTGATATTATAATGTGCACAATACCAAGCAAATGTGTGAGCAAGAGTTTCAATATAAAGAAAGTCTGCTGAGCAAATCAAATGTCAGAACAGCAATTAAAGTAATGTTACGCACCACAAGGAACACACAGTTTTCAGTGTACTTGAATTTAAAGTGGTCTGTCTAAAAGTGGACAACCTGCACACTGGATATAAAAACTAAACTTGTGGAAAACAATCCGTGGAACATCTTAAGATTAATAATAACATCTAGTACCAGGTCACATTTATTTTACTTTAAAAATATTTTTGTGTTGTACTGTATGTGAGCAGAAAAATATCACATGCTGCCTTTCGTTTTCTTATACAGTATTTATAGAAATTAAGATCAGCCCTTTGGGATTTCTTATTTACACTTGTTTTCTATTTCAAAGGAAAGTGGTTAGACTCTCCAAATGCAGCTAAAAGAATTGTGTCTGATCTTAAATCAATACATATACAAAATTACACTCAGACCACTGCAAAATCTCTGGAGAATAAGGGGGTGGCAAGAAAGAGCAACTATGAAATAAAAATAATTTTACAATTCAAGC